ACTACATGATAGGATCATGTTGGGGTTATATAGGGATAATGGAAAAGGAAATGAAAACTACTGTATGATAGGGTCAGGTTGGGGTTATAGAGGGATAATGGAAAATGGAAGCTGCTATAGTATATTTGGTATATAGGGGATATAGGGGTATGTGCTCAAGGCCCCAAATTTGGATTCGGATTCTCGGTTTCTTGGGGCTTCTAGAGTTTAGTCGTTCTAGGTCTCCAGGGTTTAGGGTGTAGGTCTTTTGGTTTAGGTCACTTGGGTTGGCGAATGGTTGCCATACCTATGGCCTCAAAGGCGCATGCGGGGGAAGGAAGTCCCCACGTGTTCCCGGAGGTTCATAGCCACTTCTAGTTGGAGCGGCAGGGCGGCTTAGTGCATAGGTCAATACTGGAGATTCTCTTGTGGCTTATAGGGACTACAAGTCTTTTTGGTACTAAGTTCCCTGGCCCTCGAAGTAAGTGGGGTCAAAAAGAGGACAGCCATAACCATAAGCTCACCTAGGGTGGGAGCCCTTCAGAGCCTAGATGATTTGAATGCGGTTTTGGGAAACCTTCCTACTACATCTGCATGAGGGTTCTCAGGTGAATGTGAAACGGTCCTAGTCATTAAGGCTTCTACATGATAGCCTGGGACCTTCTCACAGAATTCATTCTGCCGTCACCTTGTTAAGCAAGGGCTGCCCCTTCTCAAGAAACTTTCCAAGGTATTGGCTCTCTGATTGCCTTTCTCGCTGAACACCAGATTCTCAGTTGAAGAGTACTCTAGCGGAGAAATCCAGCAAGACATGCATAGCTAGAAATCTGCAGCAAGCAGTCAGGCGCTTGTAGGAGATCCTGCCGTTACCGGCAGACAAAAAACTCTCAATACCTGAAGCCATGTAACTCCTATCTATATGTACCCCTTCTTATATGACATGTAAATGCTGCTGACACGACTACCACAAAACCTAAAACCGTAATCCCCAAAGAACGTTGATCTTCCGAAGGGCTGGACGCACGACCGAGGCCGCCCAGCCGTCGTTCGTGGAGAGCTGAAACCTTCAAGGTCCAAAGATATCTTTGGTTTAGGATTAGGGATTAGGGTTTAAGGTCTAGAGGGTTAAGGTTCAAACCGTATACATATGCTCCAAATTGGGGATCGTTCTATACGATTTCATGGCCTGTGACCGGGCCAAAGTTAGTACCTTAGATTGAGGCTTCAGGTTCCAGGTTTAGGCTCTAGCCCTGGTTAAGCCCAGTAAGAAAATATTCCTTATATAAAGTACTATACCCCAAAAGGAGGGTATAACCTTACTCTATATTGGGTACCATAGTATCCCCAAATAAGCTACAACTCAAGTTGAATTTCGCACCAAGGACCTACGGGCTTAAGGGGGATTTGCTGCCTGGGGGATGGGGTCCTGATATGCGCAGCAAGCGGAACCTTCCTTCCAGAAAACCAGATCATGTTACTGTTAATGGATATAATGCACGATGCGATGCAAGATTCTTAGCCTTGCTGCGAGTCGGGTGTATACAGTCAGTTACTGGAGCTCCACGCGCTACCTTCACCCCAATTATTCAAACCTAACCCTGACTCCCGTAGGCTCTGCCATCTGGCAAATGCAGGTGACAAAGCCTGGTTTTTGGGTTATGCAGGGGTTAAATAGGGGCTATATAGGGATTATGGAGAAGAAAATGGAAACTACTATTTAGGGTGTTTTTACTATTTAGGGTTTCGGGTTTAGGGTTTTGGATAAAGGCCACGTGTCACAAGCGGCCATTGCCAGCGAACCTATCCCTGCCCAAAACCTTGTTGTTAACACCCTTTTGCGGCGAGCACTGATGATAATGCCAGGAAGCAAACCAATCTGTATATATATATATATACATATGTAGTAGTTTCTGTTTTCTTTTCCATCCCCATATAACCCCATATGACCCCCCTATAAACAATATCCAAAACCCAATGCCCAGGAGCATGGTGAAAGCTGCTTTCAATGACTGGCCCCAGTACTCATCCACTCTTTCGGACTCGAGCATGTCCTAAGACGACCAGGGCCGATAAGTTAATGAAAGTATGGGTATGTTGAGGTTATATTGGGGACATACCGGGGGCAAAATAGGGATAATGGAAAAGAAAATGGAAGCTACCATATTATAGGTTTATTAGGGTTATATAGGGCTGATAACTAGTGGCGTGAACAAATAGTTCTATCAATACCAAACAGCAGCAATGGCAAGGATGGCGGCGACGGTTGCAAAGGGAGCCCTGGTTTCGCTTAAATTACTGTATTCCTGACAAGTGAAACACGATCATTCTGGCTTAACTCCCCTTCACAGGAAACCGTCACAAACACTAAGCAACTCTACCATTGGATGTCCTAGGCTGACTAAATCCTTGGAGGCAAACTCAAGCCCTTGATCGAAAACACTAAGCCCCTCAACCCTAGCATCTCTCAACCCCTAAACCCATAAAAGCCTCACACCCAAAAAGCGTCAACCCCTAAAACTTTTTCTGTGATGTTCACCATCACCCTCCGGGCGTCCAAGGTCCCGTTGGCCTGGAGAATACCCCGCGCCCACGCCCCAGCGGACCAATAGACGCCGCCCATGACACAGGCCAGATACAGAAGGGCCTTGGGAATTTAGGGTTGGCTCAGGGCTTCCGGGTTTGAGGGGTGTAGAGTTTTGGGGGTAACGGTTTTGCGAGGGTTTGAACGTGTAGAGTTTTCTGTAGGGGTTGATAGCGCACTGTCAGGAATTCGGCGGGTCTGGAACTCCAGAGGGCTTCCGGAAAGGAGGCTTCGTAGGAATACGCAGACCCGAAAGAATCCAGAGACCCGCCCAAAGGTAAGGCTTTGCGCGAAAAGATTTGGAGCACCTTGTGACTCCTTCGCCCGACCCTCCGATCCCAAAACACAACTGTCTAAGCCGCACGCTCGCAAATCTGATTCAAGCCTAAACCCCAAACCCTGGGCCAAACAGCCGCCTTCGCGGAATCAATCCTGACCTCGTCTTGTTAAACGCACCCTTTCTAGTACTGTGAGACATGGATGAACCTAACTGTCATCTTGGGGGAAGAAGATTCAAAAATGCTTTCCATGCTCGGTAACAACTTAACTTACCCTACCCTCAACCCCAAAACCCCTGGAAACGAAAAAGCCAACAACCTAAAGCCAAAACTGCATGCCCCCCAGCCTTCGAAGATCGAATCATGCTGTCCAAGACCAAGGAGAGCTCCTCCCCAGAATCTTCATTGCAGGGTGTCTGTGGGCTACACTGTATATTGGGGTTAAATAGGGATAATGGAAAACAAAATGGAAAGTACTACATAGTATATAAAGGTTTAGGGTTTAGGGTTTACCTGCACTGCTTGAATGATTTGAGGAACTCCCGTCGCGGGCTTCCAAAAGAAAGTTGAAGCTCTACCATTTAAGGATCAAAGGCTTCAGCGGTGTAAGATTTGAGAACTCTACGCATGGATTTACGGCTGCCTTTACTCAGAACCTTGAAAGAAATTTGGAAGCTAAAGCAATGATACCTGTAACAGGCCGATCCTAAACATCCCCAAAGGGGATACCCTCAACCCTAAACCCTTAACCCATTATGGTAGTTTCCACTTTCTTTTCCCTTATCCCCATATAAGCCCAATATAAGCCCAATATAACCTATGTGTCACAGAGGCGGTCCCTCTTCAGGGCTGCGTCTGGATTCTGGATTTCACCACTTAGCAAAGTACATGATTATCTGAATGTTGTCACATAACATACAGGCCTGAAGAGTCCGTAGGATCTTTTGAGACAAGTACTGGGGATGTTACCAATGTGGGCAACATGATACTACGGAGTACAGAAGTTCCCATTTTCTTTTCCATAATCCCCATATTTCCCAAAACTAACACCAATATTATAATAGTTTCCATTTTCTTTTCCATTATCCCTATGTAATTCATTCCTCTAGATTATACGTGATCAGGCCACTGCATGGGGCCTTCAGCTTCGTCGATGTACGCGCGAACTCGTAAACTCGGAGCATTCGCCAGCCTCAGCATATCCCCCAACCCAAGCAAAGTAATTCGGGGAGCTCTCAAAGTTAGGGAATGGTGTTCGCACGCTGCTTCAAATTCAGGTTCTACAGATCCTTCGGGCAGGGGGTGCATGAGCTCACCCTGAAAGGACCTTCCACCTTAAACCGCCGATCTCCCGCACTAGACCATCGGGCCATAGGGGAAGCGGGGTGAGGCTATGCGTCTCAGGCAGCTTCGAAGTCCGGAGAAGCGCCAAAGCCAGCCGGGCTCTGTGAAAAGCAGCACGTCCAGGGCAGCACAGGAGACCTTTTCGGCTTAAAGCTTGAGCCTTCAAGCCAGGAGGTCCCTTACACCTCTAATAAAGAACTTACATGCATCCCCACAACAGCCTACAGGCCCAACCATGCCTTTCATCTCAAAGGTTTCTTCGAACTGCCTGCTGCGTTTTGGTCAGGGCTAACTCAGGTTTTGATGCTTTGAAGTTTCGAGGCGCAGGGTGTAGGGTTTGGGGTTGAAGGGGTTTCAAGCTGATGTTTTTTTCAGCCCGTCGGACTTTTCATGCCTAGCCGTAGCTCGAAGGTCTAAGCTCGGCAGAACAGCCATTATCCCTCAGGTCTCGTACATCACGGTAGCCCCAAAGCAATGCCAACTATCTGCAAACATCCAAAGAACCTCTATTGAACACAAAGAACCAACCGCAACCCCAACGCGAGGTCCTCAAAACGAAATCTCAGCCATGGAGCAAAGATCATCTCGCAGAGATTCCGCAAGCTCAGGAAATCTGCCCCTGCACCCAGGATCCGGATTGTAAACTCTAGGCCGCACCATATCCTGAGACAGCGAGGGTTTTGAGGTCCCTGCTTCGGGGAGGATGAGGAGGATCCTTTCATGAAAGCATCTAAACCCTAAATCCTTAATCCTGTTAACCCTGACTCCTAAACTCCTAAACCCTAAGGATAGGCTTGCGGGAGCCACAGGAGGTTCTGAGGCAGCAGCCGGAGGAACCAAGGCGGGCTTGAAGATATGGGAAATTCTGCCAAACAGGCTTTGGGGTTTAGGGTTTAGGGTTTAGGGAAAAAGGAACTTCGGAAACCCTCAGGATGTATGGGGGGGTGGGTTCCCAAAATTAAGGGGTACCTTGTTGAGGGGTCCTTACAAAAGGGATTATTGTATTTGGGGGCTATATTGGGGTTGCATTATTTAGGGAAACTACCATATTGGGGTTACAAGAAGATCCCGAGAAACCGTATACAGGATTCATGATGAAATTTAACGCTCCCCTAAACGCTAAACCCTGAACCCCGGAAACCAAACCCGCTAAAGCCCGAAACCCTAGACAGTAGCTCAGGAAGGACTAGCGGCTGGCAGGCTTGAGAGATGTCAAAAAGAGAGGCTATATAGGCCTATATAGCGATTATATAGAGTGATATGGGGCTTATATAGGGTTGTATACAGTTATCTGAGGTGATATGGGGCCATATAGGGTCATATAGGCCCAAGGGCTACTAGGCCACATCAGCTAAGTATCTAACAGGAGCACAGAGCCTCGAACAAGACTGAGGAGGCGTGCAAGTAACCTTCGTCATCCCTTGCCGTTTGCGATTGTAGCGGGGATCTTCTGAGCATCTGCACGCCAATCATGTGCCTCTGACGGCTCAGGATGCCCGATAAGCCCGCCGGCACAAATGCCAGAAAGCAAAGGGTCCGCAAAGGTAACGTCACAGGTCCTAGTTGTTGCCCCAAACTGATAGGAAAGCGAACAACTCGGAACTTGAAGCTAGCGAGCCCAAATGGACTTCGCCAAATTCCGTACCGCTTCCTGCATCTTACACAGGACTTGATCTTGATGCAGCTGTTGTTTTTCTAAAGCTCACTGACCAATAGGTAAGAAGTCTCCCGCATCAGTCATGGTCAGCACCCCTGTGAGAATTCCAATGCTGAAGCATGCTCAAGCAAATGAAGAAAGGAGTCGTACTAGCGCTGAGCCATTGCTCTCAGATAAGACCCTATATCACCCCATGAGACTTCCACATACTCGCCTTAAACCCTAAAACGCTAACCCTGAGCATAAGTATTCACGATTGCTGTGCAATACTCAGACATGTGAAGCCTTCAAGCCTACCCCTCCCCCCTTAGCCGAGAAACAGGAAGCCGACCCGGCACCAGTAGAAAGGTTCCTGGACTTGGTTCAGGGATACATAATACAAGTACATATATATATATACATACATATGGGGATCTTATCGTTATATAGGGTTTGGGAATACTATCTCAACGAAGGAGAATCGAACAGGCAAGAAAATCGAAATGGAAGCTGTGATTGTACCCACTGCTGGCACAAGTGTGGGTGGCCGTGAAAGGCGTTTCCTAGGCTTGGGCTCTTTGTCAGGTACCATTCATCAAGGGTCGGTTATGATATCAGCCCCCAATTTCGCTCTTCTAAATACCGTTGAAAAAAGCTGCCTCATTTTCCAAATAAGCTTGAGGAGCCGTACTTCCAAGTTGTGAATCAACCAACAGTGGCAACACAGTGCAATGGGATTCATAATTTCAAGTCTGAAGCTGATGTTACAAAACTACTACTGTATAAGTCACGAATCAAACTTAACTCCTGCGCACGTTATGAATTCCTGAAGGTCTAAGTCTAAGCTAGTTCTTCAAGCATGAAGACCACACCCTGAACCCTGACTCTGGTGCATGCCAGTGGCCAAGAATCTGGGGGACTTCGTAAGTGCACCAATAACCCGTATAATGATCCCAGTGCCACTTTCACCTGCTTAGGGAGTTCCCTGACGCTCCAAGTAATGCCTAGACCCTGAATCCTTATCAACTCAAACGTTGTAAAATCCTAGTTTTCATTTCGTTTCCCTTGTCTTGTCCATGTGGTTCTCCATTGCTGGGATAATGTCCCTAAACCCTCGCCAAGTTCGGGTTGCTGCCATGACCCAAAGCACAGCTGGCTAATGTCCTTCCCGGGTGCCACAGCTACGCAGGTCAGCTGGTCGTATGAAGTAGCAAGGCCGAGGAGGCATGAAGGTCTTCTCTCAAAAGCCTCTACGGCAACCCTACACACCCCAAAACATGCGACGTACCCTGCACATGTACAGCAGTCTGCGGGTGAAGCTCATCTTGAACTCAGAGCCCACAGGCAAGACTTCCAAATCCCATGTCTGCATCATTGGGAGTTAGATGTCGGTGGCTTCGTGATTCTGGCATGTCCAAGACCATACAGACTTCAAACAAGCGGAGCCTCCGTGAACAACAGTGCAGGAGCCTATTCCATCAGAGCAGGGTTTCGAGATGTACTACACTTTACTTATATATGCATTCTGTGCGCCCGCTATTGACAAATATTCACAGACCCTAAGCCCAGGTACCTAGGCTTCTACAGTACATTGCAGCCAGCCAGCCCTGCAAACACCCGTAATGCGGACCCAGCGACCCTCAGGCCCTCGTTGTCGCCGAAGTCTACCTCTACTCCGATATAGACCTCATCGCTTGGCTCAATCCCCCATCCAGTAATGGATACCGCATAATAACTCCATTTTAAGAAGCTATTACCACAGTGGGATTGACCGTTCTCATCGCAGAGTTGTTGACTAAGACTCGGCGCATGCGAGCTAAGCACCTTGCCCTACTGAAGAACTCCCCCAACTCACCCTCACGTCAGAAGAACGAAGGCCTCTAATGGCTTCTGCTACCAGGCTCTCTGGGATTCTTGGACAAATTCAGCAACGCACGAAAGACTGCAAAGGGAGCATGTAAGAATACTGCAAGGTCATACATGGCATCTCTTAGGGCTTACATAAGCTGTCAGCTCGTCCCATTAGAGCAACGGGGATAAATGGGGGTAGTTTCCCAGAATTAGGGGCACCTTTTTGGGGGTCCCTACAATAAGCATTATAGTATATTGGGCCCTATATTGAGGTCTCCCTATTTTGAGAAACTACCAAATAGGCCACAAGGGGAGTAAGGATTTCCCGTTCAAAAAGATGCTCTCGGGATTAGCTTATGAAACTCCCGAGCGAATAAAACCCCAAAACAAACGTTGTGGGGTCCGGAGCTCAACATCTAGTATTTTATAGCATTTTTTGTATATTGCAATATATTGCAGTATATTGCAATATATTGTAGTATATTGTAGTATATTATCAACTCTTATAGTATATTATGGTATATTAACAAAATTACGGTATTGGAACCCTGTACACTCCACGAACCTGCCACGCGAAATCGCAGGTTTTTAATTCGTTGCTTTTGCAAGACACAGTCTCCCCATCCATCAGTTCTACATATAGCCTACGCATTCCTTGCCTCCTGGTATTAACCCCACATAATCTGCAAACCTGTTTCTGGACTGCCGCTGGGACACCAGGTTGCAAAAGACAACCAGGTCACAAAGAAGAGCGAAGACTGTGTCACTCTCAATGCGGTGAAACCTCAGCGCAGGTTGGCTCTGAGCGTAGGATTATGTGACCCCTAACGAGCCACTGTCACGCGTAGCAGGTGGACCCCTATGAGAAAACAATCTTGATTCTGGAGCTTGGCGAAAGACATACTCCCCATTTCATCCCTACGCAATTCCTATATCCCTGTATCATCCTGTATTATCCCTGGCCTGTGGAAACGTGGAATGTCTGGGTTTACAGCCTACTGTAGGGGCTGAATTAATTGTAGCATTGGGGGTTCCCAACATCAGGGGTACCTCAGGGTCCTCATATTAAGGATTATGGTATGTTGGGGTTTAGGGTTGGGGTTTAGTATTTATGGAAGCTACCATTTTGAGGTCGTACCCTGTATCACTGCTATACAAGGGATCTGGGACCGTTGTACATGAACTATAGTCTAAACTCCTAGTATCCCCCTTAATAACACCTATAACACTCCCCAATATAATCCGCTATATTCCCGCCTTTACGTAGTTTAGACTATAGCTGATTTAGGCCTCTGTAGTAGCTGCAAGCATGGGCTCCCTCACCCTGCCCTAGACCAAACCTTGCAGAACCCTCATTTGGGCTTAAGGTCTAAGTGCCCCAAGAATGGATGGAATTTAGGGTTTAGGGCTTGGGGTTTAGGGTTTGTGGTTTAGGGCTTAAGGTTTCAGAAACGGCAACGACATGGAAGCTGCTGTTTAGGATTGGGAAAGGGTGGGCATGGCGAAACTATTTGACCCACCCTAGGGTCTACGACGCTGGGTTCTGAACATGGAATTGATCACCTACCCCTACTAATGAGCCCCCCACCCCGAAAAATTCAACTACTTCCTGCAAATATGTAATGCCACTATATTGGGGGGGGGGTATTCACTGTTGCGGCCAGGGCTATTAGGGAGGAGATGAAGGTAGTAAACCCTAAATAGTAGTGTCCATGTTCTTTTCCATTACCCCCCATATATCCCCAATAAAACCCTAATCCTAAACCCTAAACCCTAATCCTAAACCCTAAACCCTAAACCCTACTTAAGGGGGGACTATTGATCCATTCCTTTGCAATGCAGCCAAGGCCACAAGGGAATCCCGGGCATGGCGCCCGCAGCGATCAGAAGCTACCTCCTACACATCCCCTCAAGATTGTTCCTTAAGCAGATATAATATAGGGCTTTATAGGGGTTCTATAGGGATAATGGAAAAAGAAAATGGAAACTACTATAGTGGAATAGGGTATATATTGGGGGTATGGTCCCCCTTAAGTAGATAGAAGATGGCTTGGGGTTTATAAAAATAAGAACCCCATATACCCCATATCCTATCTAACTAAGGGGAGTTTACTAGTTCGTGATGTAGGCTGCTGGGTTTCTTGGCTTGGGGGTGTCCATGCACAGCTATGCTGATTGTTGTTTGCTGCGACTTGTTAATGCCACACTTCCTGAGACTACATTCTAGCCTTTGGGGGTCTTCTTCCCTTTTTGGCTAGGGCATACCGTACACAGTGCTGAAATCATTACAAAGTTCATGAACTCGTTCAGTCTACCTAAGCCTTCTGGACCACACGGCTTTGCGACACACTTCTTTGCACCAATGCCCCTCGGACACAATGAAGGACCTTCTGAACTTTGTAGCTTTCGAATGCAACTCAGCTTGAGCGGTATGCTTCGATCAGAAGAACTGTAGCCCAAAGTTACTGCACACCTTGAGAAGCTTTAGCTGCATGCTTGCAGTGGAGTTTTACGGCTTAATCACTCAGGCTTCTTGACCAAGGACAATCAGTGAATCAGTCCTAATAGCATCCGCCCGGGCACTCAACTCGCCACGGGGGGATCTAGTCGGGAGATTTGGGTTTCATGGACGACATGGAATGAGCTGCACGCATGCTGGACACATAAGCCACCGGCGAAAGCGTCGTGATCTGCGCCTGCCAAAGCCGAAGGCCAGTGTAAAGTAGCTTCCAAAACTAGCAGGCACAAGGAATGTGTTCTGCCACGCTTCTTCAAAATCCTGAACTTGCAGACTATATCCAAACGTTAGACAACCTACCAATGATACCTAGAACACCTCACCGTGTCAAACTCTAACTGAGAGCTCTGCCATCGACGTCTCGATCTCTTGGAGTAGATGATGCAGACTTGTTCGCAAGTGGTACCTCGATAGCCGCATGACTCAAACCCATGCAATCGCACGAATTCTCCAAGTATTGCGGTGTAGACTCCCTCCATACACCGAACGAAGCTGGAGAAGCTGCTGATTGGTGAATGGCGGATCTATGGTTATTGGAAAATTGGACGAAGGCTCTCAAAAGTAGCGGTCCTAGAACCGATCAAACTCAAGAAAGTGTTTCATGTTGAATCACTTTGCTGACGTCCAAGCTCAAAATGTATGCAAAAGAGCAATTGCTGTGAAAGCAGCCTGCTCCATATGATATCAAAATGCTCTACAGACAACCGGCAGGTCAAAATTGCAGTGAGCAGTTTCTTTCCATTGGATAGAAAGGTGGACCAAAAGTGCGTGGAAGCAAAGGTCACTGTAGGATTGTTATGGCGAAGGGGGAGCACATTCCCGCGTCGCCGGCAATGTTTGCCAGCCGGCGGTAATGAGTCACCTCCCGAATCATGTGTCTGGTAAAAGTGCTAAAGCCGCAGGTTACTAGCTTCGACTATGCATCGCAGGGTTTGTCTTTGCCAAAGCCACTTGCCCCATCTGTAGGCCCCACTAGCCTGAATAGCATATTGACATCGAGACCCGCATCGGGGATTGGGATTTGGATTGATAGGATGATATTGTATGGCAGTTACAAGCAGACTTGAGTGCAAGCCTGTTCATTAATCATCTCGCTTGGGGTGGAGAGATGATGAGAACAGCATGTCAGCTAGGATTATATAGGGAGAATGGAAAATCAAATGCAAACTGCAATTTAGGGTCTGGGGTTTGGGGTTTAGGGTTTAGATATCTCAATTGCAGTAGTTGCTTCTTCAAGTCATGGCGTTTAGGGTCCTCTCCGATCACCCTAGGTGGGGAATCCATTTGGCCACAACCATTTGTAGTCACGACAAAGCCCTACTCCTGCAAAAAGAAACCACCCAAATGACAGAATCACAAAAACGAATTTCCCATAAGCAACATGCCCGACCCTGAAACCCTCAACCCCAAACCCACCCTGAACCCTAAACCGTACACTACTAAGCTAAACCTTAGATCTGAACGAATCAATTGGGCTTCGCTTCTGCTCCCAGACCCTGCGCCCCGCCATAGAAAGAAAGCTGATGAAGTTGTCGAGATGCCTGGGGCTTCTCTATTTGCTCGCTGGGGGCGCTTCGGGGGCAACGCTTGACGTCTATGTCATGACCCCATGCCCAAGCGACGGTTGAGGAACTGCTAGTGCGCACTTGCTATCCGAAATCTGAAAAACCTCGCATAGACATCGCTTCAACAATGCCAGTAAGAAAACCAGGCCAAGGTTGTCGTCATTGTTGGTAATCTTGGGATAATATATAATAAGTAGAGGGCTTTTCGGTATTATTTTAGGGTTATATAGGGATTATAAAGGCGGTATATTGGGGATATATAGGGATAATGGAGAATAAGATGGAAACGACTATAATGGGTTATATAGGGATCTAAGGGGTCTAGGGTAGTCAGGGCATGTTTCTTTCTCGTTGCAAGTGCATCCAAAACGCGTAACAACAGGCAGGCACGTCACTTCTGATCAAGTCCTACGAGGGTCTCCTTTGGAAACCCGGGCAAGGGACTGTATTCCGAAGCATGCTTGCAAACTCGAGCTAGAATAGGTGAAAATCTGTAAGCTTCTCAAAATTGCATGTCCCTTAGGATCCAAAACTGTTCGGCCATTGTCAGGGGGACCTTCATTCCAAGAACTCTGTACCCCCATACATCGCGATAGATTCGTACTTCTGCCATATACCCTGAAATTCCTTATACATCCGTATGTATCCCTATAAACACATAAGTATATATATATATATGTATCCTTATATCTCCCTATATTCCCCTATACATACACAAATACAAGTATTCTGTCTGCTGTATCTACGCCTAAGTGCCAAGTTGACCTCGTGGTCTCGATTCCCAAACTAAGCAATGGGCTTGTAGAGGTCGAGATAACACTGCTGCACCTGCCAATTAGATAGAGGGATATATTGGGTTATGTATGCATCTCCATTGGGATGTGTAGGGTAGGGGTGCATAGAAATATGCCCCCCGGAATGGAGAATACAACGGAAAAGCCAATGGAAACTGAAATGAAAGCTAGCACTTCATCACTGAAATATTGGTTTCCTTTGTATTTATGGGAACGCCTCAAAAAAGGGGTCATGCTGAATGTGTCGGTTCATCTTGCTTTGAGGGGGATTTGGCTTCTCGCTAGTCTTGCAATCTCTTGCAGGCCGTGGGTATACTCCAGAGAGCGAAGCACTGAACCTGTTACATATTGTTAGATTGCAAGGAAAACTGGAAAGACGACAGAGTTGCCTGTGTATCATGGTTGCACGAGCAAAAACAATGATTGAGCTTGGAAGCCCGGTTTAAAGCCTGCGGGCTTCGGCGACGGAAGCTGCAAACTCAGAGCATGAAGACCCGTGCTGGCACAGGATTCTCTGTGAACCAAAGGCATGAAGGCCTCGCGAAAGCACGAAGGTCGGAAAAGTTCATGGATGCCACTGGCCTGACGAAGACTGACCAAACCAGACTGGGCTCTGGAGAAGGCATTAGGGCTTGGGGGTTGCAGTCAGAAACCACAGTACAAGCCGTCTTTAGCTGAAATGAATCGATTTCAATGCCTATCTATTAGCTGCCTTCTTCAACACAAAAGCACCCCAACATTTCTATCCGAAGCTCAGAATCCACCTTTGTTCATCTCATTCTTCCATAAACCCTAAACCCTAAGCCCTAAACCCTTAAACCCTTAACCCTAAAACCCCGAACCCTAAACCCTAAACCCACTTTTGCAAACCTGGACTTCTTGCCTCCGGCAGTGCAGAAACTTGGTCCACCAGGGCCTCGTCCCAGGCGTGCCGGAACCTGGGTAGATGGCTTTTCCATGATCCTTATATGAACTACATATAATCCCTGTATAAACACATATAACCCCATAGCATCCCCATAAAACCCTCAGGGCTTAGGCTCTGAGGCTTTTGCCGTCCAAGGTTTTTCATCTTAGAAGGTTAGTGTTTAGGGTTCTCGGGGTAAAGGTTTTGGGCAATGTTCATTAGGATTCCATAGCATTGTTGAGTGGTTTTGATGTACTCTTCAGTGCCATGGGCTTATACAACGTTCATTTGAAAAATCAGGGATAAACAATGTTGGAGTTTGGATCCATTCCGTGATTGGCCTATCTTACTGGACGAATTGAGTCTACTGATGCATCGATTTGGCACGGATTCTGCTCAAACTTTTTGCGAAATCGGGAGTCTTTTTCTGGGGTGCCCGTGACAAGATATATTGGGGTCTACACTTGGCTCTATATTGGGTTCCCTACATATGGCACTGACCAGTTGGGTATATTTTAATAAGTTTGACACCTCATGTTTCAGAAAAACCCTAAACCCTACACCCTGAACCCTATACCCAAAACCCTCAACCCAGTACCTTAAACCATAAACCCTATACCTTCAACCCAGGCAGCAAGCAAGCAGCTCCAGTTTGACCTTGGGGCCCACACTGAAGCCACATGTCTGTCAGCTGGAAAGCCCGCCTGCCTGGCAGTGGTAATAATGGTAATACTGATAGGTTTGGGGTTCAGGGGTTAGGATTTAGGATCTAGGATAAGTAATGTGAACAGTGATCGTCCTCGTCGCCGTCGTCGTCGTCGTGGTCTGGTGCCGTATCGGGATAGAACCAAAAACTACACTTGGGCTTTCCTTGTTGGTACTTAACAAAATATGACCTCGAGGCGCATATGCAACAATGACCCAGGAATCTTCTTGAAGGTTAAGCCCCTGCACGCATGACTCAAAATGCGATATTCTGTTTCTTGAGCTACAAGCTGCTAAAAAGGAATTCTCCTCAAACAGCAATGCAGAGCAAAACCGGGCAAACCAAGTAGACCCGCACCCTTCTAGGAGCCCAGATTCTACCAAAGGCCCTTTGGTCGGGATAATTTTCATGGCCTGCTCTGCACGATTTCCAAAATGTCCACTTCCCTTGGGCCCTTGAGTTAAAAGTACCGCAAACCCTAAACTCTAAGCCCTAAATCCCTTGATGTCCAAGGCTTCTCCCAAGATGCAAAAGCCCCTGCGCCTGCGCTCTGCTTTGGCGCGGCCTGCACGTACCAGAAATCGCGGAAGTGTGCGGACTGGAACAACCTCGGACAACTTCTTCAGCTCTGGACGAGGATTTCAGAATGTTCTTGAGTCTAGGGATTATGAGGTGCCAGGGATTACGGGGTTGTACTTAGCCTGGCGTGTCCTTTCAGGATTTGAGCTCGAGGTTAGCAAGGGTTTGGACAGGCTCCTCGGTTTTGAAGACGCTTTCAAGGCACCGGGATCACGAGACCTTGCAACGGATGTTCAAAGCAAGTAAACGACCGTATGGAAAAACACACACAAAAAACAAAGCCGTAACACTGCGTGGAAACCCAAGCAAATGAGCTCATGCTTGGCCTTGCTTCAGCTTCTAGAATGCTAAAGTGGCTGAGTATCTCATCGGCCTGCGCACGGTGGATTTCCGCAGCCTAGATCAGCCTAGGCATTTCAACAGACCGTTTATCATATTTTATTCACGTGATCGTTCTCAGCAGTTCTCTGCCCTGGCATAATGGTACCATCTTCTGTTCTCTCCTTGCTAATGATGCCGCCCCAATTCCTGCAATACTCCCCAAAGCAGCCCTAATAATCCCTTTGGCCGTCCCATCCCACCGACCATGCTTGCGCAAAGGCTCTGGTAAAGTCAACATTCTGCTGGCAACTATTGTTGCCCCTTTTTGTTCACGCTACTACTACAAATAAGAGTATTGAAAACGATGTTCTCAAGCGTAGTCGAGGCTGGTACGCCTCCAGCATGCGACCGCAATCTTTGCGCCAAAGCCTTCTTCAGTGTTTCGGGGTGTCTGGTCTAACGGCTTGAGTTGGAGTTTATGGCCGAACCGCTTGAGGCCCTAGGGCTGAAGGTGTGCAATTCTTCGTCTGGGCTCAAATTCAAAGATGCTTTCGGTAGTACAGGCACTGTTACAGTGAGCTAGGGCGGGCGCAAGAAACCATTACAGATGGATAGTTTCCGCTCCTTTGCCATGAAGGCCAGCGAGATTACCGATCTCACACATTACAACTTTTTACATGCAATGGGCGTCCTGAATCCTCGATCCCTGCACAATCCAAAGGTACCTCAAGGCTCCCCTGCGGACAGACTGTATATGTATCCTCATAAACAGACCCAACATCCTCAAAAACTGCTATAGCTTATAGAATTCCTACCAAGGATTCAACTGGGGTAACTTTGGGAATCTCCCAGAGCAGACTTTGCAACAATCATCCCTCTGAGGTCCCAAGAGACGACTGCCAGGTGTTCCCTTTAGAATCCCAATATCTAGCCGGGTCCTAGGGGTACTCCCTTTGTAAACCCTAAACCCCAAACCCTAAACCCTAAACTCCAAACCCTGAACCCTAAACTCCAAACCCTGAACTCTAAATAGTAGCTTCCATTTTCTTTTCCATTATCTCTATATACTCCATGCTTGAGGACAAGCCGAATCAGGCTGCGGCGAACTCAGGGGCGACTCGCCCAAGCCTGGTGTCTCCTCACATCGATTTCAGGCTCCGACTCCCAGGGCTTAAAGCATTTTCTGGGTTGCTGTTAAGGAACTTAAGGAACTTAATTTAAGGGATTATCCCCCTATAATGGAGAATCAAATGGAAAAGAAAATGGAAAATGAAATGGAAACTGGGGAATATAGGGAGTTAAGGAACTTAAATTAAGTTACCATAATGGGTATATATAGTAAATAATAGGGTTTCCCCAATATAGTAACTTAATCTAAGTTTCTTGACAGCAACCCAGTTTTCTCCAGAGACAGGTTTGGCTCCTTTCAAGCTTTAGGCCACAGGGTTCAGTGCTGAGGCCCCTCAGTTGAAGATTTCAAAGTGCTGCTGAGCTGCTGAAAGCCATTTAGGGTGTTGGAGTTAAGCGTAGCTTGCAAAGATAGGACCCAACTAAAACTTGCAACATGTTCCCCAAGTCGGCTAGGTATGCAAGGGAAGGACACTAAGTTGCCAGGCTTAATAACCTTGATTCTCTACCCTACTACAGTCACACCCTGAACTGCAAAGTCCTAAATAATTCGCAAAGCGGACAGCTGCGCCTGGGAGTTTTTGAATAACAAGAAATCGCAGAATGTCTTGGCACAGAGATTGCTGACAGCATCACAGCTATCGCACTTGCAAGAGAAGAGACAATTCCAGAATCTGTATTCCGCAAGTTGGGAAAATATCTTCTAACATCTGCAAGAGAAATCGTCAATTGCAGAATATCCTGCGCTTTGCAAGGGATTTGTCTGCTGCATGGACTTTGCAGGCATACTTTCTTCAGAATTGAAAACAAAAGCTCGAACGCCTGAAACACTTCGCTGCTACAGTGAAAGCTCTGCTGGCTCCTGGACGACTTGTTTTCTCCTATCTAAGTAACAGTGGAGCTCAGGTTCTTATGGGGCGATCTCCAATATGTTCTCTCAGACTGGCTTACTATTCACCAATATGGTCTGGTCACGCGACCGGAAAAACAAATCAGACCGTACGCTCTGGTCACACGAACCTTATCATCTTGGTTAGCATGGATGCTCAAGAGAGACTGTATGCTCCGGTCACGCGAACGTATGTATCTTGGCCAGCATGGAAAGCTTGACAAGCACGTCCATGCTCGGCGTGGACACAGCTCGGGCGCCAGGTGTCTGTTTCTGTATCGCTAAGTAATAAGACTGGGGCTCTGGGGTACGGTGCTACATTTTTATGGTAATTTCCCTAAACAAGGGAACCCCAATATAGACCCCTACATACGATAATCCTTATTATAGGGACCTCCAGAAAGGTACCCCTAATTTTGGGAAACCCCCATATACAGGTTACAAGTTCATAAGGAACCACAACATCAGAAGTACCAGAACTTCCACGAGGCCTTGAGGGCCTGAAGCGAAGATAGGAGCGCTTCAATACCTGATAGGCAAGCACCTTGTCCTAACTGCTTGTGAGTAGGTAGGGTTCAGGGTTTAGCGTGGCTGTGAGTAGGGAATGGAAGAATGGAAAGGCTTAAATGAGAACTACGACAGGGCCAGTGTTTGGCGTTCAGGGTTTAAAAGGGAACGGAAACGAAAGAACATACTACGATGTTGTTGTGGGCTACAATAGGGCTACTACAGGGTTCCCTTCCTCCATTTCGTACTAGCAGCCACAAAGCATGCGGGCTATTCAAGTAATGTGCACGGCCTGAAGAAGGCGTGAACTCCAAGCGCCTAAAACTGTAGAACTGTGTTACTATATGGTCCACTTTGCTCAGCGAGGGGGCTACATACTGGCTTAGGGTTTAGGATTTAGCGTTTCGGGTTTAGGGTTGAGGCAGTTTAGGGCCTAGGAAACTTAACCTTTTCACCAAACTGCGTCAACAGATCACTGATGTACAGTTTTGAGTGTTGCTCAGGGTCCCATGACCCTTTACGACTGGATGCAGGAGCAAAAGCCTTAACCCAAACTCCTAAACAGTAGTTTCCATTATCCCCATATAAACCCCATATAAGCCCATGTAACCCCAATATCAGCCCAACATAACCAGTCGGAGCCTTGGGCTTGATACCTCCGGAACTTTGTACTGCCTTCACTAAACCACGGAGAGTCACCTTTGCGACACATACGACTAGCTTCATCTGCGAAATTCCCCAGTTTCCTAGTTGCATTTATTGCTACTATACACCCCTCCTGGAGCAATAACCTCACTTCTTCCTTGCCATCAAGGTTCGTTGATTACCGGGGGAGGTTGCGAGGGAAAGTGTATTGCGGGGGGACAAGCTTGAATTGTGAGGTGCCTGCTTTGGACTTCGTGGGTTTGGTGGGTGTGTGGTGCTCAGCTTCACGCGGTCAAAGGCCTGGTTTTTGTCGGATTTCTCTCCCTTCAGCAACTTCCCAAAAAAGGTTCGTCATTCCATGCACTCCGATACCCAGAATGCAAGAGCAGCGTAAGCCCTGCGTACAAGGGTACAAACTTAGCTTCAAGTCACACCTCCGACTCAAACTCCAAGCTAATAAAACTCCTTCTACACGGACCCACCAGGTCACGAAGTTGATCCCATTTGCGAGCGTTAGCCCAATCGCGAAAAGAGCGCATGCACCCTTCAAATGACGTATCTTCTTTTCTCTGGCCACCCCAAACTCGAAACTCAAAGAAAAATGACCCAAGCCCCCACCCCCAAAAGCTTACAACCCCCAAAGCCCCAAATAAACCGCTCAGACTGAACCCAACGCTGGGTTGACGGCTCAAGAGTGGCCTTGGCTCTCAGCTATTCCCACATCCCCCACCACGGGTAAAAGGTGCTAATGAGTCGGGTCTTTTAACGGACTTTACCGGAGCTGTATTAGTAGTATCATGTATAGGATCTGTGTAAGGAACAGTTTCAGGGACTATCTAGGTCCCTAAACTCTATAGTGAATGTCTTACTAACGGAGTTTATGGTACTAAACAAAGGGGATACGCTTGGAGGTGTGGTCCTTGCTTGACTTAG